AAGGCTTTAGTTTGGTCAAGCAAATAGGACATTCTACAAACAAGCTCCCAAGTCTAAACCAGGACTAGAAAACTCGTTAGTATTACCCTATTTTAATGGTCTAGTACATCTTGCCCCAGCCCTGAAAAACCTTAATATTAACCCAGTGTTCAAAAATAATAATACAGTTAAGTCCATGTTAATTAAGAACTCGTCCTCGTCTGTAGCAGGTTGTGTGCACTCCATCCCTTGTAATGGTTGTGTAAGTGTGTTCACATCGGCCAGACTGATAAATCTCTTTCCTCACGTTTAAAAACAAGATTCATATGCTATTCGCACTGCCCAGCACTCCAGTGTTTTATATCTACATTCCAGTTTGTGTGATCATTCATCGACTTCAGAGGAGCGAAATGAATTGTTAAAAGTAAGGGTTTCGTTGAACGAAATGTGATCGAGTCTGCTCTGATCACACAATGTAACAACACCCTTAATATAAGCCCTGTCATGTACAAATTAGATCCCCCCCCCCTCCATATAAGATTCAATACAGCACGTCAATACAATGTAGCATCCATTTAACCTGTGTTTATTTATTTATTTATTCCTCCTGAAACATTTATACACTATTTACCAGTGTTTCTGTTTGGTACAGTTATACTTTTCATTCTTTCCTACCCCCCTTTCCTTCACCTTTGTTCCGTAAGGTTTCATCCCCTATCTTGGTGGTCAGGTAATCTACCCTGGCGGATATAAGGTCATCCCTTATATATATATATATATATATATATATATATATATATATATATATATATATATATATATATATATATATATATATATATATATATATATATATATATATATATATATATATATATATATATATATATATATATATATATATATATATATATATATATATATATATATATATATATATATATATATATATATATATATATATATATATATATATATATATATATATATATATATATATATATATATATATATATATATATATATATATATATATATATATATATATATATATAGATATATATATATATATATATATATATATATATATATATATATATATATATATATATATATATATATATATATATATATATATATATATATATATATATATATATATATATATATATATATATATATATATATATATGCAGATAACCACATATGAAAAATAGAAAATGCTTAACGCGTTTTCGGCTAATTCGCCTTCATCAGCGCAAAGTAGAATGAGGATAAGATTGCTGATCAGACCTTTATATCCGCCTGGGCAGATCACCTGACCACCAAAATAAGTGGAGAAAGGAATTATAAGAAAGAAGGTAATTGCAGAAGGCCTATTGGCCCATACAAGGCAGCTCCTATTAATATCTCCAAGTGCCATACGTGTTTAAATGAATGCTATATTGTTTTGACGTGCTATATTGAGGCTTAAATAGGGATCCAACTTATGGCACTTGGAGATATTAATAGGAGCTGCCTTGTATGGGCCAATAGGCCTTCTGCAATTACCTTCAGCGTACATATGCTGCTTAGCATTGTAAATGTGTGGCCACGTCTGTGGTAGAAAATAATAATAATAATAATAAAAACTAAGGCAAAACAGACCAGAAGTCACTACTAGTAGCCAGCCGCCTCTAACATAAAACAACCTACAAGTCACTTGCACCCTAGCTACCACCATTACCACCTCTCCACTATCAACAACATCACCCTCCTAATAACACCAGCACCCCCCTCAGTAGTGTCGTGGTGAGGGGCTTACGTACACCTCCCTGGGACCGGTGAGGGTTGCCTTCGCCCCCCTCTCCAGCCCTTCTTTGGGTGTTGTACTTGATGGTGCTACATAGCCTTCCCGGTTTGGTGCCTTCTTTTGATAATTACTTACTTACTTTGGGTGTTGTACGTGCAGAAGGGCGCCGCCGTAGGGTCCTTGTGAGTCATCGGACCACCCGTTGAAGGGGGTCGCCTGTGAGGGGCTGCCGTAAGTGGATTGGATGGTTGGGTGTCCAGGCTGGGACGAAAGGGAGAATGGGCTCTTTGCACCAGTGTGGGAGAATGGACAAGGCAGTAGGACTCCCCTGTTAAAAAGGGGGAGCACCGCTGGAACGACACACCCTTTCCTGCACTGACCTGTGCTCGGCCTCCCTGGTAGGTGGTATCCCTTGGTTCCAGGCCCCAGACTTTTAGAATTGACGTGTACATGGAAACTGAACTGACCTCTTTTACCCAGGCTCGTGGGGTAGGCAACCAGGCCCCCGAGTCGGACTGTGATGGAAGACTGGGCTCTGTAGCCCCCACTACATTGGGCCCAGACCAAGCTATTCCTTTGATCCTCCCAACTACCCCCCCTCTACTCCCCTCCCTCCTCTGTGGTATGGTTGAGTCTCAAGCCCCAGTGGTGACCACATCGTCCCCTGGAGCAGCTCCTTCTCGCATTTTGACTACTGCACCTTTTACCCTCATCCCCCTCTCACTGGGGACTCTCAGCACCGACTTCCCCACAGATGCACTCGCACGATTCCTTCCTGTGCTAATACGTTCCATGCCTTGTTTGGTCCTGTTACATGGACTAAATACTTTGATCTCAACCATCTGGATTCCATGCTTCCTGACAATTTCTTCCTCCATAAACACCTCGTTGATTCGGTGGATGCCTCTGTTACTTTCATCCTCACCCATTTTGATGTTGCTTATCCGTGCCCTTCTTCTCAGGATCGCTGCCTCAATTGCGGTAATGCCCACTCTACCTTCTAATGCACATGTATACACTACAAATTTGAGGAAGCCATCCTCAGTTTGAAGCACCGCAATTGCTTGTCTTTTCCTGAGGCAATACGCCAAGTCCACCATCTCTCCTCTCTCCTCTTTCGCTTGTGTATCTTATGCTCGTGTGCTGCATTTCACCTCTCCTCGCCCTTCCCTCCTTTCTCAGTCTCACAACCGTTTCCAGGCCTTAGACACGGACACGCCCACCGCCGCCTCCCCTGTTTCTTTATGTTCTGGACAACAATGGGGTCCTTCTCCTGGTTCTCCATCTGGTGTTTTCCTCCTTCCTTCCCAGTCTGCCACATCTCCTGTGTCTTCTTTCCCATCTCCCCCTGATCCTTCTTCCCAGCCCTCTTCCCTGTCTCTGGGCCCTCCACACCGTCTGTCTGTCCAGGCTGTTGTCCATCATCCTCCTGGCAATCTTCATGTTGTTTGCTCCCATTCTCCTTCTCCTGTTGAGGCACTAGAGACTCGCCTGGTACATTGTTGCTGGCACGTCTGTCTCTTTAAGTCAGAAACGTAAGCCTGGCTCCTCTCCTTCTTCTTCCCCGGCAGGTAAGAAGGCATCACATTCTTCCCTACCCTCCGCCTTCGACTCTCATTGCATCCCCCTCCCTTTTCGGTGGTTGGGCCCCCTGTCCCAGCTATAGTGGTACCTTTAGCCTTCGATCTTTCTTGGTTACTGCCCTTGCAGAGGTTTGTTTCTGCCCCCACCCCCCTCCCCCTGCTTCCCTTGACTGCCCCTCTCCATTGCCTCCTCCTGCTTCGGACCCTCTCTGCCTCCCTTTGGTCTGTCCTCCCGCTCCCTTAACTCCATCATTCTTGCTCAATTTACCCATGCCCCCTAACCCTGATTTCTCTGATCCTTATCTTCTTTAGTATACTGTGTTCTTCTTTGCCTTTATTTCTTTGTTCTTCTCTGTTGTTGTTTTCTCTCCTTTTATTCCGACTTTTACCCAGTTATTCATTCCTTCATCCTTGCTCATTGGCAAGGTTGTTGGTCTTCTGTTACTGGTAACAAACCGCATGCTCTTTCAAGTAGTGTGTTCCCATGGCCTACCACCATCACTGGCAGTGGGAAACGGCTCTGGTGAGGTTGCGTATTGGCCATAATTGTTTACCTCACAAGCACTTAATGGGGCGCCGTCCTACTCCTTATTGTCCATGCTGCATTGTCCCACTTACAGTCATACATATCTTTGTTGAATGTCCTGACTTCCAGGACGAACGTGTGTCTTGCTTCCCGACCGTCCCTAGCGTTCACTTGTCCCTCGCTAGAATTCTTGGTGAATCGGATCCCTTTGATATCATTCGCCTTATGCATTTCTGTTCTCATATTGGCATCCTTAGTGATATTTAGTGCACTATGATTATTCTGCACATTTGATGGTACGACATGGCCTTCCAGCTTGGTGCCTTCTTTTGACAATTACTTTATCTCATCATCTTAATGGCGTAACTAATTAGCACTAATTGCAGAAGCTATAATCTCTTCCCTAATTACTGGTAACAGTTCTTCTATCTTCCTATCCCAGTGGAGGAAGCTGAGGTGTAGTCACCGTATATAAGCAAGCGATATGAGAATAGCCAACAGTACAATTTCCACAGTCAAGAATGTAGCACTCGGCGTAGGCAGTTCTAATCGATCCCAAGACCCTACAGCTTCGACACAGAACAGACAGCAGACTAGGACCACATCCAGCTACAACGCTCTCCCACATAGAGCTCCGCGACTCCGGCCTCACTCAGCTCTCTGCTCTGCTCCAAGCTCCGTCTCAACGTCTACGACACTGCTGTATCCAAGACTACTAATTAAATATGAAAATCCACTAAACGCGGTGTATCTAATCTACTCAACAACGTAATATAATCGTACGTTACACTATCAGCAGCACCATATCATACAACTACCACCTGCATCATCCTCACAGCCACCAGCACCATCCCCCATTACCAACAGCACCACCCCACCATAGGTTCTAGTGAGCCTCACTAATACAAAACAAACCATAGGACACTAGCAGCCCAGCTTTTCCTCCTAAGGTTTCCCAACGTCAAGAAATTGTCGTACTAAAGTGCCCTCTCGTCACCTACCAGAGGACCAAAGACAGAAAACGGGACCCTAATTATATATATTATTTATATATCATTTTCGCGGGCCACTACCATTTTCTAGTAAGACGATTTGTGACTTAGGTTGAGTATACGTCAATATGCGACGCTCTATTAGCAGCAGGGGTTGCAGCAGCCAGCCCCCACTAACACAACACAAGCCACAAGTCACTAGCAGCCAGCCCCCACTAACACAACACAAGCCACAAGTCACTAGCAGCCAGCCCCCACTAACACAACACAAGCCACAAGTCACTAGCAGCCAGCCCTCACTAACACAACACAAGCCACAAGTCACTAGCAGCCAGCCCCCACTAACACAACACAAGCCACAAGTCACTAGCAGCCAGCCCCCACTAACACAAATCAAGCCACAAGTCACTAGCAGCCAGCCCCCACTAACACAAATCAAGCCACAAGTCACTAGCAGCCAGCCCCCACTAACACAACACAAGCCACAAGTCACTAGCAGCCAGCCCCCACTAACACAACACAAGCCACAAGTCACTAGCAGCCAGCCCCCACTAACACAAATCAAGCCACAAGTCACTAGCAGCCAGCCCCCACTAACACAAAACAAGCCACAAGTCACTAGCAGCCAGCCCCCACTAACAACACAAGCCACAAGTCACTAGCAGCCAGCCCCCACTAACACAAAACAAGCCACAAGTCACTAGCAGCCAGCCCCCACTAACAACACAAGCCACAAGTCACAAGCAGCCAGCCCCCACTAACACAAAACAAGCCACAAGTCACTAGCAGCCAGCCCCACTAACAACACAAGCCACAAGTCACTAGCAGCCAGCCCCCACTAACACAAAACAAGCCACAAGTCACTAGCAGCCAGCCCCCACTAACACAAAACAAGCCACAAGTCACTAGCAGCCAGCCCCCACTAACACAACACAAGCCACAAGTCACTAGCAGCCAGCCCCACTAACACAACACAAGCCACAAGCAGCCAGCCCCCCCCCCCCCAACAGGTCATAATACAACACTCTCCAGGGTGTCCGTCCCAGAGGGGGAGAGGACAGAGGGACTCCGTACAGTCCAGAGTCAGGTGGTGGTCATTGCTGCCGGTGATTAGGACGCAAGCTATCGACCGCTGCTTCCTGTATTGTGACCACAGAAAGACTCTTACGGGTGCTAGATTAATTAACACCGGAATTGATGTGTACGCCCTTATGTGCCGCTGTGAGAAAATAAAGAAGTGAATACCAATAAAAAAATAAAGAAAACGAAGAGGCAGGAGGGGAGCAGTGTGGGGGATGGATGAATGTCGACAGAATGGCCAGCGAAGAAGCTGTTGAATGGTGTGACAAGCAAATACCCCAGAGATTGGCTTGGTAGGTGGGGGTAGGGGGAGGGTGTTGAGTGGAGTGTGTCGGGAGCGAAGTGTAGGGAGGGTGTATAATGGCAGGGTGTAGAGAAGGGTGTGTAGTGTGAAGATTTGTTCAAGGGTGTGTAGGGTTGAGTGTGTGACAGAGGACGTTGGAATATAAACTTCAGTTCTTAAGCGCCACCCTCACCCCCCTCCCCCCTCTCAACCATCAATCGACTGGTGTACAAATTCCTGAGCCCTGAGCACTGTGCATATTCTCCAACACCACCTAAGGTAACGTCACTTATTTACTATTCCGACAGTCTTCTTTTTAACACCTCTTTACTTAGTTTCGAGTTTTTTCTTTTATTATATTTACATTAAAAACAGTTTTTTGTTTTTTAACTACAAATTGGTAGTTTCATACCGAGGCTGCACACTTAACAGTGGGTATCTTTTATGTATATCCATAAAATGAAATATATATCTTCTTGTCTATCCGAGGTTGAAGGCCAAACTTTTGCGCTTAGTCTCGCGCAACTTTTCATGTTGATTTGTGACTGTATAGAGTGTCATAGGGTGGATGTTGTCGACCTCCATGCCCTGATTTACGATGGATTGTCTCCTATTGCGAATGCCAACGACTCCTATGAAGCTTGAAATGTGGGCTTGATTGTCCATAGTGTTAACTATGGACAATCAAGATTTTTTAAGTCTGTATATGTTGATTCAATGTTAGGGAGGGGGGTAGGGATGGGAGAGAGAATGGCAGGAGGTAAGGAAGTAAAGAGAATGATTATGAAGGAGGGGGGGGGGAGAACAGTAGGGAGAAAGAAAATGGAAAATGACAGGGAAGGCGGGAGAGTTATCTTGAGATGATTTCGGGGCTTAGTGTCCCCGCGGCCCGGTCCTGGACCAGGCCTCCACCCCCCAGGAAGTAGCCCGTAGCAGCTGTCTAACTCCCAGGTACCTATTTACTGCTAGGTAACAAGGGCTTCAGGGTGAAAGTATTTTGCCCATTTGTTTCCGCCTCCACCGGGGATCGAACCCGGAACCTCAGGACTACGAACCCGAAGCGCTGTCCACCCAGCTGTCAGGTGACCTTTCCTTTATTTTAAGGGACAGTTTGAGAATAAGGGAGAGAGAGAGAGAGAGAGAGAATGGCGAGACCCAAGGACTGCTAGGTACCTTATCCATACCCGAAGCATAAAAATAAAAAAGAGCATATGGCATGCAAAATAGCATACCATACCAAGATATCTATGATATCTTGAGATGATTTCGGGGCTTAGCGTCCCGAAATCGTCCCTGCTCAGCATTACTATAGGATCTATTAATTATCTTTAGATTTGAACGTTCTCATAATCTATCCTATCATTTTTCTGGCAGCCGCAATATTTGCTCAGTTACGTTCACTAAATGTCAGGTCGTCAGACTCATAATTCCCAGATCTTTTACATGTTGCTTTTGAGGTATGTCGAGGAGGAGTGAGAGCCTCTAGAGTACTCAACGTATGGCCGTCCTCTAGTGCCACTACACTCTCACACTCCTCACTTGGGTCTTAAAACCCCTCCCGCGGTGCCACTATCCTCCCAGGGGGGGAGCACCTTACAAATACCATTTAACGATTAAGTTTAAGTTTAAGTTTAACGATTCTTCGCGGCAGGGGATCGTATTCCAGGGACCATAGGATTAAGGACTTGCCCGAAACGCTACGCGTACTAGTGGCTGTACAAGAATGTAACAACTCTTGTATATATCTCAAAAAAAAAAAAAAAAAAAAATACAAATAATCGCCAACAGAACCTAACCCAACCTATGCTTATATATGCACAATATGCTAATATATTATAATATTAATTTATATTTGAGAAAATTCCTGTTTTGAATGAACAGCATGTTAAAATTTATGAATGCGTCTGTGGGGCCGACCGCTGGATGTAATGGACTTGGGCCGGATTCAGGAAGGTACTTACGAAGGTTTTTCCTCTTAGCTAAGAACGAATTCCTTCTTAGCGCCTTCGTGGCGGCTACGTCCGTATTCAAAGAGCTACCCTAAGTGGAAAAACCTTCGTAAGTTCATTCCGGGATTTAAGTGTGGTTTCGACCACTCGTAGCTTTACGTAAACTGGATATAAGTCATTTTTCTCTACTACATAACACTGGGATCGATTTATGATATTGGAACATGACCAAAATATTATAGCTGGTGAATCTAGTGGAGAGGAGTCCTTCGTGTTAGTTATATATCCATTCTCTGCTTGAAACTTGAAGTAAATATGTGTTTGATGATAGTAGAATTAGTTTTATAATAGAAAGATATTATACCAGTAGTTATTAAGTAAATAAACACTGGTGAACATGAAATATGAGAGAAGGTGATGAGCCCTGCCTGATGGGGTCATTTACTATCACCAAATGCCCCTGTTCACCTAGTAGTAAGGGTATACCTTAGCTATACATACCCATTTCTAATTTATTTAGTTTGGTTTTATTTTGAAATTAAATCTGGGTGAGACATAAAATAAAAATATGCTGCACAAATGATGTTAGGTAAGGAAAAGGGTAAAAATGTCAAAAACTTTATTCATTGAATACTTAAAGCTATAATTATGACTATATAGACTACTAAAAAAGAGAGAGGGAAGTAGGGGTCCAAGACCTCTTCCTGTTATACAATTTGGGTGTGGAACAAGTAATTATCAAAAGAAGGCACCATGCCGGGAAGGCTATGTAGCAGTAAGGCAGTGAGGTGAGGCAGCTACTTATTTGAGAAATGCTTATTTTATTTACCTTATAAGCTGAGGCAACTTATTTTATTTGAGGAATACTCAGCTGATTCCTCTACATTTAGCATGGAACAAATTTGTGTCCAAGACCTCTTCCTGTTACTCAATTTGGCTGTGTGTAACCAAACTAGAAGTGCTCTACAAATCAAGGTACCCAGAATGTGGAATGACCTCCCGAATCATGTCAAAGGCTGTACCTCTCTCAACCAGTTTAAGAGTTAAACCAAGTACTGCCTAATTAACTCCATGTAACCTAACTTACCTCCTAAATGTCAACCCATGTCTTGCTATTTTTTAAACAACGCTGTTCACCAACATGTGCAATTGCTGATTTATGCTATGTTAACCCCCTTTTTGTATTTTTTATTCCTTCTTTCAACACAATTTATACCTAATCTCGATTGCTATTAAGTTTTAGTCTGTGTTTTTTTCCCCCCACACCTTGCCCGAAATGCTATGAGTATTAGTGGCTTTAGGTATTGTATGTACTAGCTCTGCCTATAAATCCAACATTATGTTTGTAAATCAACTGTATGTACTTTTCCTGAATAAAATGTATTTATTATTTATTTTTAATCAGTAAGTATTAAAAGAAGGCACCAAGCTGGGAAGGCTATGTAGCACCATTGTGTGTAACAATAAACCAAATTTTTTTTTAACAAATAATGCACCTGTATGGGAAAACAAATCCTGTCAGCTGTAAAAATATTGATGCAGTTATTTAAATGAAAAATATAATGAAAGAAATATTACTGGTTTATTTTTATCCTATCTTTTTGTACTGTACAGTATATCCAAGGAAGTGAAAAATTAAGACATAATGCACAATTTAATGAATGATTAGCATGGATTAGCAGTTCAAAAGAATATGACTTGTATTACATATCAACATGAGATCTTAATGATCCATGGTCAACATGATTTAATAAGGATAATACAGTACTGTATTTGTAATAATACAAACTATAATTTAAAATCTTTATTACTGATTTTTTTATTAAGAAGATTAGGTATACACAGCAATGTGCTGCTACCCTATTCTATATGGAATATTACACAGTGTAGATAAAAAACTAGCTATAAGTTTATCTAATACTCCCATCTCACAGGATGGTTAGACATACTGTACATGGAATCAATTTAGAAAATACCAGCCTCAATACAAAAAACAAATCAACTCTGACTAAACAACTCTAAGCAATTTTCACAAGAGGTAAGCACTGAATCATGGAAACATTATATTATAATTACTCTTACCAGTTTCTACAAAACTCCTCTCAAACAATGTATTTTTAAACATGTTTAGGTATACACAGCAATGTGCTGCTTCCCTATTCTGTATAAAGGACCACACAGTGTAGATCAAAAACCAGCTACAAGCTCACCCAACATCCTCACCTCACAGGATGTGAGGTGAGGATGTCATCTCACCTCACAGTCATACATGGAATTAGGAGAGAACAAAATACTTAATGCTGATCTATTAGCCTCCACTGGTAAAATCTGGGTGCAGCACAAGAATATC